TGGTTTTTACTTATAAAAGAAGTATTCCTATAGTGCCAAGTAAAAAATCCCTTCTATTAATTTTATCAATTATTAGTTGATAATCATTGATCATCATCTTAATTCTTAACTTTCTTTTGGTGATTTTTTGTATTTATCTAACATCATATACATTTAACCTTATTTTCTTTTTTATAAACATATAACCCTATTTTTCTAGCATACACTTAAAAAAATTCAAGAATTTTATGTGAATGTTATATGTGTACTTTTTTAAAAGCAAGTTATGTGTAATTTCATTAGTCATAATAGTAGACAAGCAAATATATAGCAATTAGTTGGGTGAATTGGGAAAAAAAATTATTATAAAAAATTTAAATAAAAGATACAAATATGTTTTCACTTTTAAAAAATTACTCATCTTTTTTTACATATTGTTTTTTTCATAACACAATTTTTTGTTCAAAACATTTTTTTCACTATGTTAAAAGTCCAGTGTTAATATAAAATTTTTTGTTAAAATTCATGTTATGATTCAAATGACACAAGTTTAGTTGGGAAAATTGATAAAAAAAAATAAAATAAAATATTATAAAAAATTTAAAATTAAAAGATACATGCATATATCCACTTTTAAAAAAATCTACCTACATACACTTTTTTACATTTATATTTTTTGAAACACAACTTTTTTTCAATACATTATTCTTTTCACCCACATATTTGGATGTTTCAAATTCTAATAAATCAAAATGGAAATACTAAAGGTAATTTTTTTTACGAAAAAATTTATTTCCTTTAACAAATATAAGTTTATTTTTAATGATACAAGCTCATCAGAAAACAAATTTTTACAAAAAAACAAAAATGAAAAGAGAGCAAAATAGGAAAAAGAAAAAGAAAGGCAATCCAAATTATTTTGGGGCTTTCTAAGCCCAAATTAAACAAAAATGGCAATCCAAAATTTGTGAAAAAATAGAAAAAAGGAAAAGAAGAAAAAAAAAAGTATTGGTTGTTTTCTTTATTTGCCATGAAGGATGCATTAGGTGACACTCTCAATTCCTCACGAAATGTCCATTTTTCTTAGCAATGGCTCGAAAAGAAATCCCTTCTTAAATCAAAGACATTTTCCCACATAAATTATGCCATAGCTAATTTTTTTTTTTTAAGAAGTCATATAATATTTAATTATATGTAAAAAATTTATACTGTATATTTTTTTGGGTTTCACTAACATCATAACGATCCTAAAAGTAAATTTTTAAAAATCAATAATAAAATACCACATTATAATTTTTTAAAAGATTGAAACTAATATCACACTTCTATACATGAGAGCGAAACCAAATTAATCCTTAATAACCTTTACTCCTTAATTAACCTGTTTATATATGAAAGTGAAACCAAACTCATCCATAATAACCTTTCTCCTTAATTAACATATTTAACAAGTAATAACTAACAATTAATTGAAAAAAAAAATGAATTAGGGCTCTAATGAGAAAATGAAGAAGCTCTAGCAAGTTTCTCTTCTCTCTTTTCTCATTTTCTCAAATTTCTCATTAATTTTGATTAAAAATTACCTCTTTTAGATTAGGCTGTAATTTTTTAATAAAAAATAGATTGAAAACTTCTATTCATTTAACCACATCTTTAATTTCTATTGGCTCTGATATCTCTTCCATAAATATTTATCATTTTTTGTTAGAAGTTACAGGCATAGCAAAGAACAAAATAGAATGGAATCAAATCTTCATTGGGAATTTTTTTTAATTAATTATTTTTAAATAAGTTAATTAGTGTTAAGATTTAAAATCATTATTGATTTGGTGTTGGTAAGTGTATAACACTTATCAGTGATCATTCTAATATAAATTTAAACTCTTAATTTTTTGATATTTGAATATGTCAAGAATAAAATTATGATCATAAAAATTAGGAGTTTAATGCTCTATTAACTACCAAATAACTACAAGATTATTAGCACTTTTTATATAATTCAACAATATATACATAGACTATATTTTTAAAAAAATTATAAATGATAAACCCCTCTAGCATTAATTTAACCCAACCTAATCTCCTTTCCCCAAATCTAAAATATAAACTATAAATTTAAATATATCTTCCCCCTTTATTAGAAAAAAAATTGAATAACATTATTTTATAATTGCTAACCTCTATATATAATTGTTTGAGTGTATCCATGTACATAATTGGACAACTATTATAGTATAATAAATTTGACTTTTTTTTTTAGTCATTCACTTGTATTTTGTTTTATAAAATAGAGAAATTTTTTTAAATTTTTATTATTATTTAAATTTAGTGGAATCAATGTAGAAAAAAAAAACCAAAAATTTCTATGAATATATATAGTTTTTATTTTTTATTTTTTATATTTTTATTTAAATTTAGTTGGATCAATGTGGAAAAAAAAACCAAAAGGTTCTATGAATATATATATATATATATATATATAGTCATATCTACGCCCCTGACTATAGCCGTAGTCTCCAATCGATACTTCATAGATGCAAACCTTATATAATTTTTTAGGACAAGTGTCATTAAATGAAATTAAGTAATTCAATTTACAAATGTGAAGTTGATGTTCTGGATCCTTAGTTGTAAGGTATAGATTAATTTTAATCTTTTCTCATTCTCCATTAATCAATGATTTAAAAATAAATATTTAAAAAAATAATATAATCAATTTTATTAGAAATAATAAAATGTGTTTAATTTTTTGTAATCTTTGTATACCAATAATTAATTATTTGTAGACCTGGTGTACTTATTTTATGATTATTTATTGGTTTATATGTGATCAAATTTACACATAAGTTCTTTGCGGTGAAAGAGGATGAGGGTGTTAGTCATGATCTCATTAACTAACACCCTATATAACATAACTACTAAGTCATGATCTCATTGGCTAATACCCTATATTCATCGTTCCTTTAAAAGATTCTGCATGTAATTTATTTAGTTGATGGTATTTGCATGTGTATGAGATATATATACCTGATTTTTTATTTTGAAATAATTTGTAACCTTATAAAAGAAAATATTTGCATTTTGCCATCAAAATAATATTTTCAACGATCAATGTTTATTTGGCCCCATTTTATAAACTAATACTAATTTTCGAAAGACAACAAATATTAAGTAATTTTAAATAAAAATAAAACCTCTATAAAAGAGCAAGAAATGAGAAATTGATAAATAAATAAAAAAAACACATTATTAACTATTTCATATTAATAAAATTTCTTTTAAAAATTTTGTATATTCTTAATTATTGACTTATTGTGATGTATTTCATTTAAAATTCAAATTCTTACTAATACAATTAGTATTGTTTTTGTTTAAAATCTAATTTTTTAAGCATAAAAAAAAATTGAAAAAGCTTTTTACGATTGATATAAAATCTAGTTAAAACAAATGAATCCAACCAATACAACTTTAGAAATGTTCTTGGTAGGCCATAGCCAGCAATCTTTGCCTTCGCTACAATTTATGCCAGAAATCATTTACTAGAAGCTCAAAAGAAAGTAAAAACTTAGGAGGAAAAATTTGCCTATTTGAATAATAACTTGGAAAAGATATTAATAATAAGTTGTAGATGATGGAGAATAGAGAACCAAATATTTGTATACAAAATAAAATCAACAAGACACAAAGCCACAGGCTTCCTTCAAAATAAAACAAATACCAAAAACAGAGTTTTGACAGAGACAAAAAGCTCTGTTGAAAGTGCAAAATCATTAAAGTACTCTTTCTAAGCAATCTGAGTAACCAAATCCACAACTCTTCCCACAACTATCTTAATAGAACAGTCAGCTAAAAGAAATCCCTCATTTAAAAGATCAAATCACCAAACTTCTTCTGACAACAAAAATCAACTTTATGCAAGTCTTCACCACATTTAAACAAAAGGCAAATCATAAGAGCTCCCATGACACCTAAGCACATCTTTTGAAGATGTAAAACTCAAGAAAATTGCCCACAATTGAGTAGCAACAGGTAGTGATGCAACTCTCAATGAAAGAAAACCATGCTTGTCGCCAATATGGATTTATGTATAGAACAACAAAAATTCCCAATAAAACAATTACATATGAAACCAGAAAGCTCACACAAAAAACATATGTGGCCATGAAACTACCTTCTCCTTCATTGTCTGTTGCAGTCGATACTGTTGGTGGTGACTCAGTTTTAGAATAGTTATTTTGCAATGGAGGCCCACAGAGAAGAGGGTTTCCCTCGTAGCTGCTTTCATCAAAGGTCCTAAACTGAGCTTTTCGTTCTGGAGTACTACCTGACAAGTTATTGTGTGCCACGTTGAAAACCTCCAGGAAGTTCAACTCAACCAACTGTATAGGGACTCTACCACTCAAGTTGTTGTAAGAAAGGTCCAAACTCTCAATTTGCTTAAGTTGTGAAAATGATGAAGGTATAACTCCGACCAAGTTATTGTGAGATAAGTTTAACGAAAGGATTTCACTCAAGTTTCCTAGTTCGAGTGGGATTTTCCCAGTTAACCTGTTACAAGATAAATCAATCCCAGACATGTACTCAAGAATGTCACCACTGTATGTATAGGACACGTTCTTTGTTGTAAACTTTATCATTTCTTCCATGTAGCTATTAGGATAATGATATAAATAAATTGGAGCGTATATTGGTAGACCCTTTCTTGAATTTGGTATATACCAAGAAACATGTATGGAAGACTTCTCCTTCTTCTTTGCCAGAGTTAAATTACCCAAACAAGAAGGTATAGGACCGGAAAACATATTTTCAGAAAGATCTATGATGCTCAATGAATACAACTTGCACAATTGAACTAGAATTCCACCGTCTAGATGATTATCTTTCAAAAGAAGGACGCTTAAAGCAAAAAATGTGCCAATCCATTTTGGAATATTACTGGTCAAATTATTCCCTCTAAGATCTAATGTCACTAATGAAGAGCTATTAAAAGCAAGTGTCAATGGACCACTTAGTTTGTTTCTCTACACGTGGACATGTCTCAAATATGGTGGATTGAAACAAGAAGGAATAGAGCCAGATAAATTGTTTTCAGAAAGCTCCAAAAATTCAAGTTCATACAAGTTGCACAATTCCATTGGAATAGAACCTTCGAAATGGTTGTTGGACAATGCCAATCTCTTCAAATGCGATAAATTCCCTATCCATCTTGGGAGCTTTCCATTAAAACTGTTATTACTGAAATCAATATCCTCTAGTGATGAATGTGAAAAATCAATAGCAGAGACATCAATATCAGGAATCTCTCCAGCAAAATTATTGTCATCCAAATACAAATTTGACAACTTGCTTGTGTTGAACATCATAGGAACAATTTTTCCACTTAGGTTGTTATTTGATAGCCTAAGAATATCTAATGAGCTTCTCTTGATCAACTCTTCTGGTACTCTTCCAGACAAATGATTGCCCGATAGGTCTAAAATTAATAAAATGTTCATGCCACTTAAACAAGGAGGGATATTACCTTTAAAGGCATTCTTAGATATGAATAACCATTCCAAGTTTGGAAAAGTTGAACATATATTTGTTGGAATTTGACCTTGTAATTTGTTATTAGATATGTCAATTACAGACATATTAAGATTAGGAAGTTGTGGTAACAAGAGAGGACCGATGAAAGAATTGCCCAACAAGAAGAGTTCTTCTAATTTTGTGTTATTTTCCAACAACCACAACGGGACTGTTCCACTGAAATTGTTATGGGAAAGATCAACATATCTCAAGTCATATTGGTAATAAAGGAACTTAGGAGGTTGTAGACTAAGTCCTTTGTCTGTTATACATTCTGACAAACTGATGATGTTTAGTTGGAACTTCGGAATTGAAGTATGAAAGGAATTATGTTCCATTACTATCTTGTTTTCATCAGCCAAAAGAAACTTGAGATTTGGAAGGTTTGCAAGTGACAAGAACGGCATTGAAATTTGCAAATGATTTCTTAAAATGGAGACAAATCTAAGTGATGAAAGATTTGCTAAAGGAGTCAAATTTCCAATAAATTGATTGTCGGAGATATCTAACTCAAGAAAAGATGTCAAGTTACCCAAACAATAAGGAAGTATCCCCTCAAGTGCATTCCAACTGATATCCAAACTCTTAAGGTTCCTTAGATCACACCAACCTGAAAATTTTATAAATTCATGGAAGAAATTTTAATTAAATTTTGATTTTCAAAACAGAATATATATAAAAGATATTAGATGAAAGAAATAGAATAAAGGATTATTGGAAATAGATGTATTCCATGAGTTATATTGGAGAAATTATAGAGTCTTTAATTTACCTTGATTAGGTAAGGAACCCATAAGTCCACAGTTACGTAAAGACAAAGTTTTAAAAGAAGTGAATACTCCAATGCTTTGCAAAATGTTGTTGTTGAGATAAGAACCGTCTAGAAATATTTCTTCCACATTGCTCCACACATGCAATTCTAAGTAATCATAGCATAGGAGGTATTATTAGATGTTAATCAACAAACATCTACTAAGTTTTAGTCCTTTTGGAATAAATTAATGACTTAACTTGATCTTGAGTAGCCATAGTCTTGTTTAAGTAATTCCTTTGTAGATAGAAGGTCTTAACCGATGGGAATGCCTTTACTAATTTTAGCAATAATGGAATGCTTCCATTGGTGAAAACCCCATTTAGACGAAGAACTTTTATCTTTTTCAATCTCTTATATTCTGTAAATAGAAAAAATAAATAATAGTAAATTTTTATTTTTATTGATAAGATTGTATTTCCAAGATTTATGCAAGATGAATTTTTAATAGAGAAGAATATTGAAATGTTAACAATTTTTAATATAAATTTTAATATACGAAACAATCAAAAAGGGGAAAATCAAACAAAACTGTAACATGAAAAGGCAAACAAGTCCAACTCTAAGACACAACAAGCTAATACAAATAAAAAAGGAAATATTTGGTATGCAGCGGCAACACTTCTTAAAGAATGCACTTATCTAATGCAAATATATATAATTTCTTATTAGTAATCAAATTATAATGTATTTCTTCCTTTAAAAAATTGGGTTTAATGAGAGCATTTCACTTAAAATCATTGTAATACAATTAAGTAATCACAATTCAAAATTACGTGAGGTCGAGCAAAATTTTATGTGAAGGTCACACTTATAGATGGTGAATTTTTATGTAATTCTTTATTATAATTAGAGAATTGTAATATTGTAGTAAAAAACATATAATAAATAATTAATTTCTTCCTTTAAAAAATTGAGTATTAAATTTTAATATGCTAAATTTGTTGATCATTAAAACATCTACATCATTATAAAACCCACAAATAAAAATAGAAAATTTACTTATATCCATACCTTTACAGGTCACAAATTCATTCAGATCATTATAGCTCATATCCAGTTCCCTTAACTTGGTAAAAGCACCTAAGTCTGGGAAAAAAAAGTAATAGATCGACTTTGTTAAATCCTATCCAAGCAGTGGTACACTAGGTAACGTGCTAATAGTTTCGGGTTTTGGATATCTTGTACTTACATTATATTTAATTGAATATTCTGTATCTAAGTTCCTTTTGTTGATGCTGATGCCAAGTTCCTTTTGTTGTTGTCTTCACCAGGGAATTCTTCTGTATCTAAGCCCATTAACCAAGTATCCTTGATGATTTTAGGTCTGAATCTCACCATGCTTCCTTTTACAAAGATGAGTTTTTTCACTGGCAAAAAGGAGGTTCAGAGATCTGCAACTGCCTTAGGATATGTTGCACATGTGAGTTCTATTCCTTTGGTTAATATAAAGTTATCCTTTATTACTGAATTTGTTTTCTGATAATATCAAGCTATAGGCATCAAGTTTTGTATATACCACCTACAATCCCTTGTTGCTCAAGGATAATGCTGTTATTTTATATTGCTTAAATGGAAATATAGTATCTTGGGCACAGTCTTGATAGCTTGTTTCTCTTGCTGAGGCAATAATTTTAATTATACCTAATTATTCTTTCTTGTTTCTCGCTAATTCTTCATTTACAGGCTGTTTCACTAATTGCATCCTATTTACAAGTTCCCTTACGTTATCCTCTGCACTTGGGTGGTTCTCACTCATACATTAACAACCATGCGCCTTCAGTAGAGCCTACATCTTCTGATTTGTCATGGAATACATCACTTTCTGCAAATGTAAAGCCTGCAGAATTTCCATTGTTTTTAGAAGGTCAAGACACAACAAAAGCAGCATATGCAGTATTCTTGTTGAACAAGGTGAGTTTTCAAATGCTATCATTTTTTTGGTGAATTATTCTCCTTTTTGCATTTTTTTATGTATGTTATTGGATTCAAACCTCTTCAAAGTTTGCTTGTCCTTTACAGTTACTATAAGATGCTGTTCATCCACAGCTCTGAAAAAGAGTGCTTGTTTGTTTTCGGCCTTTACAAATCATATTATGTTGTTGGCGGTGGCTAATAAGATTCATCATCATGGTTGAAAAGTCCGTAGATTTTGTATTTAATTTCATCCAGTTTCATGGAATAGGCTCTTAAGACAATCTATAAATGTCACCAGCCATATCAGAGTGTAACATGAAATCCTTATTTTTAACTATGAGATGAGATGAAGGATTATCAACAGATTTGAAAAATGTGATAATAGCCACACCTTACGTCTAAAAGAGGTCTGGCACTCAAATCCCATTCCCCATAACTCAGCTAAACATCTAAATGGGAAAGGTAATGACCAAACTTTTGTTTTTCCAGTTTCTGGCCCTTTCTCTTCCTCTTCCCTTGTTTCCCTACTTTGAAAATTCTTTCCAGAAGTTTATTCTTTTCTTCTCTTTTGTTTATAATGCCTTAGTTGCAAATTCCTTAAGGAGAAATGCTCACTTATAATCCACTTACATTATTGTAATAAGTTTACACTGCTTCTAACTTTCTATGTGGTTTATCTTTTACTAAGTTTACTGTTTGTTCTAATAATCTAATTCTTGCACATCAATGAATTTTAATTTGCTCAGTCCTTATTCTTAAATGTCTGATATAGGATTATTCACTAAATAGGAAAAACCATGATGATGGTCAGACCTTACATCCAATAGCACTCAAAATCTCCTGTCTCCTAAATTATCAAAAGGCTAATTGGGAAACATGCAAATTATTTGAGTTTCCAATTTTGGTCCCTTCTCTTTCTCCTCTTATGTCCCCTTCTCTTTAAAATTTTAATCTTTGTTTTGTCATATAAAATAATTCTATTCCCAACTCCTCAATCGGAAATACTTTCCCAATCCACTTGTAATTGTTACATTAGTGTATCAAGTGTAAACCACTATGTAACATTCTGCTTGTTTACTTGTTTTACCATTGTATATCTTCTAGCTGTTCTGATATTTGTAACATTTTAATGAAAGAAATTGCCATTTTATGGTAACTAACTATTGAAGTTTTTATGATGTTTTTAATCAATTTCAAATATAGCAAGCATTAAACCTGAACACTTATATAGAAGGGAGTTCAGTCAATCATTGGTAGACCAGATTAAGTTGCTTGTCTCCATGGTCTATTTATATTTTACTGAATATGGTTAAGGCCAAATATCATTTTAGGTTAAAAGGGGTTTGTAAGGAAGAACAAAAGTAGAGAAAGAGTGGATACTTCTCAAATGAGACTAACACATATTAACCTTATAATTATCTGTTAAGGAATCTTGAAATATTAATGTTAAATTTTGTTATCTGAGGAGCATAGAAGGCCAACATACTGCAAATGGGTTAGAAATGTATATTTGTGACCAACTTCATATTCATATGAATGTATGGGTGCGTGACAAATCTCAATGGGTCAAGCTAGCATTCATCCTTGTCTTAATTTGTTGTACTAATGTTTTAAGAGTTAGTCAATGTTCCTTTCTGCAAAATGTTTCTTGAGTTAAATCAATTGGTTTATGCAGTCATAAGCGACATTTAACAGATATGAGATTCAAATTTTAGTACCTACAAGTTCTTTCTCTATTTTTAGGCTACAGGTTTTTTTTTTTTTTGTACAAAAAAATGTTTGTTGAGATGCATGACATTTTAATTATATATATATATATTTTCAAATATTCATTTTTGAAATGAATTGACAAAAGTCTTCCCTGTGTTTGCAGAATATAGAGCAACTTTTGAATTTCATCGGCATCAAGAGCTTAGGACCGCGACATGTGCTCGCAAATTTGAAGGAGCTTATGAGGACTGTCCAATCTTCAGAATTTATGAATTCATGAATTTGATTTACTAAGGTAAACTTAATTAGTTAATTACAGTGTAAATGGACAACTTATAATTCTTCACAATCCGGGTGCAAATTTTTGACCAAGCACCTTTCATAAAGCCTTAAAAAAGGATCACAGTTTGGTTGTTACAAAATCAAGCCTAGAGTTGATTTCTAAGGAGCAGATTGTTTGATGTTACAGTAAAAATTCAGGTTCGGATGGTTCCCTTTCTGGATTTGTTTTTAATATATGTTTTTTGGTGAGAATATAATTGAGAAGATAGGGAAATTAGATTGTTGTGTAATAAATGTTACATGACAAAGAAGTTCTAAAAACCGAACTAAAATTTGCAAGACAAACCTTTTGGTATAAAAATGATAGTTTAATTTCTAATCGAATTTTATTGGAGTTGGATTTTAAGGGTCAGGTTTTACTTGACTTGATTGGATTTTTTTTTTTGGGCAACAATGGATTATTTTTCGGTAATAAATATTTTATTTAAATTTAAAATTCAAATATTTTAGAACATATTAAAATTATTAATATAAAAATAATTTTTAATATTTTTAAACAGTAAAAATGATTGATTAGGATATAAATAGATGGGTCAGATGGATCCTAAACTTAAAAGTAAATTTGTCATTTTAAAATACGATACAACAAAAAGATATAAAAATAATATAATTTAAATTTTTAAAAAAAATTATAAATAAATTTAATAAAATTAAAAAATTATATTTTATGTTTTCGTAAAACTGTAATATGTTATATTCATATAAAATACGATATGAATATAATATTTTACACAATATAATAACATGAATTATCAATTCTACTTAAAAATATCAATCGAATTTTATTTTATTTGATCCAACTTATTCATGCACAACTCTATTTGTAAGAGAATGTTATATTTGTAAAAAATAGCCTCTTTTCGTAAGGTATTGTTATTTTTGTAAAAAATGGATCAAATCGATGTATTGAGAAGAGGAAAGGCTAGAATACCACTGAAACCCAAATCTTTTGGAATGTTCAACTCAATATTCATCACTTACCTGAGTTTGGTTCTCAAAACCATCTCTTGGAAAGTGCCACTGTTGGATTTTGCAAACTCCCCTCTTCCCCAATTCCATTCGTATCGACCCAGCAATTGACTAAGGGTCTGCAAAACTTAGCTGAGAGAGCTGAGACACCATCACGCAACCCTCGCAACTGAAAACACAGATCACAACTTGAAGTTGTTATCATTACATTATTCTTTTGCAGTAGTTTGTTCGGCTTAGGACCTGTCGATGTTGGTGGATATCCACGTTGCAACACCATATATACAGGCATTTCAGGTTAAATGATTTCCAAAACCTGTAACATACATGTAATGACCATATTATTCTCAACTGAATTCTCTTTTACCAACTGGACAACATAAAAAGAATATCAATAACATAACTGGCTTTTCCTTTTTCCCTTTTCTTTTAACTAACAGAAAAAAGAACATAAGACATGAGTTGAACTTCAACCCAATTTAAAATTCAGACTACAAGAATAGCATACAGTGTTGGTAAAGTTCATACCGCCTACTTTCAACTACGGTCAATAATTAAAAAATTATTATTATTATTACAAAGTACAATTACCCTAAGCTAAACGGTAGAGGGACCAAGATAAATGCCAGCCAGCTTATCAACAATCATTTACATTGATACCAAACAAAAAAAAATAAAAACAGACCCTGAAAAAGGATAAAGGAAGAAAGTAATAATTCATCATTGACGATCAAGCACACATAACAAAGGCTAAAAGGTTTAGAATAAACACAGCCACAGGTGAATTTTTGCATTCATAGTGGTAAGCTCACTCCTCTCATTTTTTATTCTACCTCATTCTTCTAAGCTGCTTTGCCTCTATCACCTCAAGTTTTAGAAGGTTTTAGAAAATAACCTTGCCATTCTAAGCAAACAAAATAATTGAGTTCCCTATTTAGCTTAGTCACCACATTAGGAGAGCAATGTTGAAAGACTTCAGTTAGCACGGCCAAGTAATACTTCACCAGAAGAGTTCAATTCTGGGAAGTGCCACACGGATTTTATCACTTCTAAATGCAGGGAGGGAAGGACGGGGGATTCAGAGAGCCATATTATAATTGGATAGTCCAATTGCAATAAGCCTCTTATCCTAGCATCATGGTACCACTTTGGAATTGGATCCTCCAGAAAAACCAAAGGTAAACCATGACGATAGGAGAATAATTAATGACACCAAAATAGATTGATGCTTTAAATGGGAAAAAGGATCCACTGAAGTAGGCGTGGATGAGGGGTATTAAAGTAATTTTGATTAAATATAATAACGAGTATTTTTGTAATTATAATAGCATGACATAATAGTAATTTTGGTATTTCTGTAATTATGGTAGAAGGGCATTGTCATAATTTTGACTAATTATAAGAAAAAAGGTCTTTTCTTAATATAATGTAAAAGCATTATAATAAATTTAGATACATATCAAAATCACATCAAATAAACAAAGCGGTGTTATAACAATTTTTACGAAAATTATTTTAATATGTTATTTAATATTTAATAAGAATTTAATAGGGTTATTATAGTGAATTTAAAACAAAATTTCACATGTCAAATTTTTATTAACCAACGGCCAAGGTATTTTAGTAATTTAGTATGTAGTTAATTTTATATAATGTTAAAATTTCATATGTAATTTAATAATGATATTATAGTAATTTTTAAATAAAATATCACATGTCAAATTTTTATAAACCAATTGTTATGATATTTTAATACTTTAATATGTGATTAATTTTATGTTATGTTAAAAATTAATATATAATTTAATAGATGTGTTATAGTAATTTTGAAACAAAATTCCACATGTTAACTTCTTATGAAGTACTCATAAAAGCATTTCCATTTGAAAGGCATTATAGTAATTTTATGCCATTTGTGGTAGGGGTATTTTTGTAATTTTATTAAGAACCATTCTTTAGTAATTTTAGTCAATTATACTATGAGAGGTATTTTTGTAATTATTGTAAGAGAGTATTATAATAATTTTAATTAATTATAAAAAGATAAGTATTTTTGTAATTATGATATAAATGTATTATAGTAAATTTAGATACATATCGATATCATATCAAATAAACAAAGGGTTGTTATACTAATTATCAAAAAGATTGTTTTAATATATGTTATTAATTTTGAAACAAAGTATCACATGTCAACTTTCTATTAAGTATTCATAAAAACATTTTTGTAATTATGGTGGAAGAGTATTATAATAATTTTGATCAATTATGAGAAATGTATTTTTATAATTATGTCAGGAAGGTATTATAATAATTTGAGTCAATAATAAGAGAATTGATATTTTTGTAATTTAATAATAAAAAGAATATTTTTATAATTATGGTACGAGGATATTATAATAAATAATTATAAGAGAATATGTATTTTTTTTATTATGGTATGAGAGTATAATAATTAATTTAAGAGAAGAATTTTCTATAATTATGATATGGAGTATTATAGTAAATAATTATAAAAGAAAAAGATATTTTTTAATTATGGTATGAAGGCAAAATAATCAATTTGGTTATATGTCAAATTCGTATCAAACCAAGAGAGGGGTAGTTTGATCATTTTTTAGGGGTTTATTTTCAATATATGAATAGATTTTTAAGTTAAATATTAAAAACTAAATATTTGAATTTTAAAATTTTTTAATAATTTAAATTATAAATTTATTAATTAATTTGATATTTACTTTTAATCTTATAAGTTTTAAATAATGACATGTGATTAATAAATAGCATATCATATTAATTAAAAAAATTATAATTCAAATATCCAATTAAAATTTTTTTAAATCAAATCACATAAAACATTTTAATCTTCCTCTTTTACTACTAAATTATTTTCATTAAAAATTAAAATAAGACTTTTGTAAAAAAAACACATCAAAATTATCAAATCAATGTGAAAGAATATATTTTTAAAATTATCTAAAAATAAATCCAATTAAAATTTTGAAAATATTTTTGATTATTTTAAAAGAATAAAATAAAATAAGTTTAAACTATATTCTTTGTTAATAAATAAGTAAATCTATTTTCACTAAATTTAATGGTAAAAGTTTTACATTTAACAAATTTTAAGTTATAAAAAAAAAGTAGTACTATAAATAAAAATTAACCATGCAAAGCAGGAATTAAAAAATTTTAATTATTTTTTAAAAATTTTTATAGTAATAATCAAGTATTATATCATATAATTAATTAAATAATTAATTATTACATCATAATCAAATTACAAACATAAAATAATTAATTAACAAACTATACTAAGTCCTTGTCCCAGTAGCTAACACCCTATATTTATTATTGCTTTGAAAGATTATGCATTTAATTTATTTATTTGATGGGATTTTCTTGCGTATGAGATATATCAACTTATTATTATTATTTTTATTTTGGAATATTTTGTAACCCTATAAAAAATAAATGCATTTTGCGATCATTTTCATCGATCAATGCTGAATTGGCTCATTTTGTAAAGTAATACTAATTTCCAAAAGACAGTGCTTCCTTCCAAACAAAACAAATACCAAAAACAGAGTTCCAACGGAGACAAAAAGCTCTGTTGAAAGTGCAAAATCATCAAAGTACTCTTTCTAAGCAATCTGAGTAACCAAATCCACAACTCTTTCTACAACCATTTTAACAAAATAATCAGCTAAAAGAAATCCCTCATTTAAAAGATCAAATCACCAAATTTCTTTTGACAACAAAAATAAACTTTATCCAAATCTTCACCACAATCAAACTAAAGGCAAATCATAAGAGCTCCTATGACACCTAAACACATCTTTTGAAGATGTATAACTCAAGAAAATTGCCTACAACTGAGTAGCGACAAGTTGTGATGCAACTCTCAATGAAAGAAAACCATGCTTGTCGCCAATATGGATTTATGTATAGAACAACAAAAATTACCAATAAAACAATTACATAAGAAACCAGAAAGCTCACACAAAAAACATATGTGTCCATGAAACTACCTTCTCCTTCATCATCTGCTGTAGTTGGTACTGTTGTTGGTGAGTCAGTTTTAGAGCAGTTATTTTGCAGTGGAGGCCCACAAAGAAGAGGGTTTCCCTCGTAACTGCTTTCATCAAAGGTCCCAAACTGAGCTTTTGGTTCTGGAGTACTACCTGACAAGTTGTTGTGTGCCACACTGAAAACCTCTAGAAAGTTCAACTCAACCAACTGTATAGGGATTCTCCCACTCAAGTTGTTGTAAGAACAGGTCCTAAACTCTTCAATTTGCTTAAGTTGTGAAATGAATGAAGGTTAACTCCGACTAAGTTATTGTGTGATTAAGTTTAAGCGGAAGCGGATTTCACTCAGGTTTCCAATTCCAACCGGGATTTGCCCATTAACCTGTTTACAAGATAAATCATTCCCAACATGTACATTAAGAATGTCACCACCGTATGAGTAGGTACACCACGTCTTGTGTTGTAAACTCTATCCATTCTTCCATGTAGCTAGTAGGATAACTATTTGATAAATCAATCCGAATGTCCATTGGTACTAGTAGATCCTGTATTAGTTCTGGTATAAACAAAAAATCATTTACGTAAGACTTCTCCCATTTCATTGCCAGAGTTAAATTGCCCAAACAAGAAGGTATAGGACCAGAAAACATATTTCCAGAAAGATCTATGATGCTCAATGAATACAACTTGCATAATTGAACTGGAATTTCACCGTTTAAATGATTATCTTTCAAAAGAAGGACGCTTAAAGCAGAAAATGTGCCAATCCTTTTTGGAATATTACCGGTCAAATTATTCCCTCTAAGATCTAATGTCACTAATGCAGAGCTATTAAAAACAAGTGTCAATGGACCACTTAGTCTGTTTCTCTTCACGTGGACATGTCTCAAATATGGTGGATTGAAACAAGAAGGAATAGAGCCAGATAAATTGTTTTGAGAAAGCTCCAAAAATTCAAGCTCATACAAGTTGCACAATTCCATTGGAATAGAACCTTCGAAATGATTGTTGGACAAAGCCAATCTCTTCAAATGCGGTACATTCCCTATCCATCTTGGGAGCTTTCCATTAAAACTGTTATTACTGAGATCAATATCCTCTAGTGATGAATATGACAAATCAGAAGCAGAGACATCAATATCAGGAATCTCTCCGGCAAAATTATTGCCATCCAAATACAAATTTGACAACTTGCTTGTGTTGAACATCATAGGAACAATCTTTCCACTTAGGTTGTTATTTGATAGCCTAAGAAAATCTAATGAACTTCCCATGATCAACTCTTCTGGTAATCTTCCAGACAAATGATTGTCCGATAGGTCTAAAAATGATAAAGTGTCCATGCCACTTAAACAAGGAAGGATATTACCTTCAAAGGCATTCTTAGATAACAATAACCATTCCAAATTTGGAAAAGTTGAACATATATTTGTCGGAATTTGGCCTTGTAATTTGTTATTAGATATGTCAATTACAAACACATTAGGATTAGGAAGTTGTGGTAACAACAGAGGACCGGTGAAAGAATTGCCCAACAAGAGGAGATTTTCTAATTTTGTGTTATTTTCTAACAACCATAACGGGACTGTTCCACTGAAATAGTTATATGAAATATCAACATATCTCAAGTCATATTGGTAATAAAGGAACTTAGGAGGTTGTAGGCTAAGTCCTTTATCTGTTGTACACTTTGAAAAGCTGAAAAAATTTAGTTGGAACTTTGGAATTGAAGTATGAAAGGAATTAGGTTCCATTACTATCTTGTTTTCATCAGCCAAGAGAAACTTGAGATTTGGAAGGTTTGCAAGTGATAGGAATGGCATTGAAATTTGACAACGATTTCTTGAAAGGGTGACAGATCTAAGTGATGAAAGATTTGCTAAATGAGTCAAATTTCCAGTAAATTGATTGTCGGAGATATCTAACTCAAGAAGAGATGTCAAGTTACCCAAACAATAAGGAAGTATCCCCTCAAATGCATTCTCTTTGATGTCCAACTTTTCAAGGTTCTTTAAATCACACCAACCTGAAAATTTTATAAATTCATGGAAGAAATTCTAATTAAATTTTAATTTCCATGTCAAATTATATAGGAGATATTAGATAAAAGAAATAGAATAAAGGATTATTAGAAAGAGATGTATTCCGTAAGTTATATTGGAGAATTATGGAGTTTTTAATTTACCTTGATTAGGCAAGGAACCCATGAGTCCACAGCCAGATAAAGACAAAGTTTTAAGAGAAGTGAATACTCCAATGCTTTGCAAAATGTTGTTGTTGAGATAAGAACCGTCTAGAAATATTTCCTCCACATTGCTCCACACATGCAATTCTGAGTAATCATAGCATGGAGGCATTATTAGATGTTAATCAACAAACATCTACTAATTTTTAGTCCTTTTGGAATAAATTAATGACTTACCTTGATCTTGAGTAGTCATAGTCTTGTTTAAGTAATTCCCTAGTAAAACGAAGGTCTTAACCGATGGGAATGCCTCTACTAATTTTAGTAGTAATGGAATGCTTCCATTGGTGAAAACCCCAATTAGATAAAGAACTTTTAACTTTTTCAAACTCTTATATTCTGTAAATGGAAAAAATAACAAGTGTAAATTTTTATTTTTGTAGATAAGATTATATATTCAAGATTTATGCGAGATGAATTTTTAATAGAGAAGAATATTGAAACGGTAACAATTTTTAATATAAATTTTAATATACCAAAACATCAAGAAGATGAAAATCAAACAAAACTGTAACATGAAAAGGCAAAAAATTTTTAAAGGAATAAGAATGAGCAGTAGTCTAAAACAGAATGGCAAAAGCAAACAAGTCCAACTCTAAACACAACAAGCTAATACAAATAAAAATGGAAATATTTGGTATGCAACTGCAACATTTCTTAAAAAATGCAATTACCTAATGCAAATATATATCATTTCTAATTAGTAATCAATTATAATGTATTTCTTTCCTTTAAAAAATTAGGTTTAATGAGAGCGTTTCACCTACAATTATTGTAATACAATTAAGTAATCACAATTCAAAATGTGTGAGGTCTAACAAATTTTATGTGGAGGTCACACTTATAAATGGTGGATTCTTATGTATTCTTTATTATAATTAGAGAATTGTAATATTGTAGTAAAAAGTATATAATAAATAATTAATTTCTTTTTTTAAAAAATTAAGCATTAAATTTTAATATGCTAAATTTGTTGATCATTAAAACATCTACACCATTATAAACCTCACAAATAAAAATAAAAAATTTATTTAAATCCATACCTTTACAGGCCACAAATTCATTCAAATCATTATAGCTCATATCCAGTTCCTCTATGTTGGTAAAAGCACCTAAGTCTGGAAAAAAAAGTAATATATAAATTTCATTAAATCATCTCAAAACACAAAATGTGTTTTTTTTTTAAAAGTATTTATAACAGAGTTAAAATTTTGGTTGAAAAGTAATAATTAATTAGATTATGACTTAAATCAAGCTTTTAGAAATTGGTCAATTTTAACTGTCTCCCTATATCTATAAATAATTTACATAATTTCATCATTAAAGAAAAGAGACAGATAAACTTATTTGTTATATTATCTTGAAACATGAATTAAGATTTTTGTTAACAAATTCAAAATTTTTGCAAAAAAAGTAATTTTACCATTCCATATTCTATTGAATCATTTAACTGATTGGAGCTTTATGCAAATATTAAATTTGAAAGCCCCAAGTGATCAAATATGCCTGTACTTAATGAGATTTATCACTCAAATCAAATTCTTCTAAATGGGTTAAGTTCAGCTGTCTCCACTATCTACCTAAGGTTTACATATTTCATCATAAAAAAAGAATTTACATATATTTATATATATCACAACTTAACTAATGGAACCAAATATAAATGCATACTCGTGAGGATTGAAGGCTTTTTCCATTTTGTTGGAGTGTAAATACATCATCTTCAATTCTTTTAAACTTCATTCAATTCTAATGTCCAAGTTCAATTAAAATAATCTTAATGTTAGCCTGGTTACTTCAATATCTTTTAACTGAATATTTTTTAATGACTTTTACAATGAAATAAACGGCACAAATCTAAAGCTTTAAAGTGAGAGGAACATCCCCAAATGTGATATGAGATTTTACCTATTTGATGAGCAAAAGGGTTCTAAAATAGAATTAAAAAAAAAAAAAAAGGGAGTTGTAATAGCTTTACCTTTAATATCTATTGAGCCTTGCAATTGGTTGTTCCCCATATGCAGGGACTTTAGACTTGGAAGGCCAGAAAGGATTGCAAAAGTGTCGTTCTTGAAGAGATTATTACTTAAATCAAGAACCTCCAAATTGGTCATCCTTAGTTGTATCTCCTTTCCTGTAGAAGAATATTTCTATTATATGCTACTGTTAATGGGAAATTTTATACATTGATCACATAATTAAGAACTTAGTTGAGTGAATTGAAATATATATTTTTACCTTGCTTTGATGGTTAGGAGCTTTCAATTTTATTGTAGCTTAAATCTAAGTTCTCCAAATTTATCAAATTATTCAATCGTATTCCATACCAAAGAGCAATTAATATTATGTATAAAAGCAAATGTTATGCAACACCTTTTCCTGAAACAACAATTGATTTGAATGTAAAAGAAAGGTAAAGCAAGTTTACCATGATATGAATGGTTCCTTCCAAGTGATTTGCACTCAAATTGAAAGTCCTTAAAGATAAAGACCATTCAATAGAAACAATATGTTATTTTCAAAGAGTTGTACCTTAAATTAAGAGTTTCCAACTTACTAAGTCTTGAAAGCCATTGAAAACCTATAATGAAGACAGATTAATATTTTAATTACTGTTTATCATTCATAATCATTATTAGATTAATTTAATTCCACCCGTTTGCATGACTGGAATCCAGGTGAACAAGTTTCCTGCTAGATATAAATCTTGAGAGATAAAAGCTGACTCAAAGATAATAAAATTGTATCATTGAAGTAATTGTCACTTAATCAAGGATCTCAAATTTAGCTTCGCAAAACTACAAGAGAGTTCTTTTAAATATATAATAAGGACTTAGTGGCTTTTCATCAAATAAAACAATAACAGAATTAAATATGAAATTGTAAAAATGAAAAAGTTATGAATGAATTTTCATATTGCAAATTAGCAATGAAAGGGCAAAAGGGACCTTCATTTTCAGCAAAACCAGCGATTCTATTCCCTGATAAATCAAGACGCTTCAGTTCTTTGAAAGGGAAAAACAAAGAGGCATTGAGATACCATCTTTCATCGTCGGACCATCTTGTTTGATAAAGAGAGAGTCCTATGACTCGCCTGGAGGAGGAGGAGGAGGTGTTGCATTCGACCCTTTCCCATTGGCAGCAATCTGAACCCTTGACCTCCTCCACCCAGCTGTTCAGATCATTGTAATGGTTGAAGAAAGGTTTGAGTTGCAAGAGAGCAATCCTCTCATCCTCCCAACACGCATCAGTGCTATACCATCTGCATCCTTCTAACAACAACAACAACAACTCAACCACAACCATTTGGGTTCCATCATCTCTTTTTCTTTATATATGATCTCTATATTTTCAATTCTCTCTCAACTGCTACTTCTAAATATATAATAATAAGCCTTGCATCGAGCTTAATATATATAGACAATCGAGGAGTTTGGCAATAATAGCCATCCCTATAAAATGGCTTTTGAATATAAATTGATTAAAATTTGTCTACAGAATATTTTGTTAAATATTTTAATTTGGTTTATTATTTTTTATTCAAAAACAATATATATTGACAGTGCAGTAAGGAAATCAAGTCAAGGAAACGTTGGCAAGTCAAGGTCCTCGTTTACACTCTGTTTTGTAGGAAAGAAAGAAAAGGGAAAGGAAAAGAAAATTCCCTCTTCCTTTCCTTCTTACCAAAAGGAGTGTTAGTCTCTTTCTTTTTCTCCTATCGGTGGTGAATTCTACTGTTCTTGAATTGAAACTTGAATAAATTAGTCACTAAAATCACTCTCTCTTGAAAGTGGCTGACATAATTTAGAAAAAATTTTGCAATGAGACAAGTGCGTGCCTTTACGTGAAAAATCAAGCAATAGACTTTTATTTTCCACAAATTAAAACTTTGTTCATGCTATATATAGATATATATATATATATATATATAAGGTTTTGTCTCAATAATAAGAAAGAGGGATTGGAAGCATTAGATTTTATGATCAAATCTCATTGTATATATGTTGGATTTAATTTAAAATTTCTATAAATATACTAATTTTCTATTATTTAATTGTTTTGATTATTATTATTTTTTGTATCGATGATCAATCTTGATAAAAAATCATTCATTTCACAATCGTTCTCTTAGTTGTATAGTTGGAGTACTTGTTAAACCCAACTACTTTTTAGGTTATTGGTCAAAAGACTTGGATCCAGTCCTAAATATGATTTTTGAAACTTGAGTTCAACTTGGGAATTTTATTATATTAATAAATAATATGTTTTAATTAAATTTTAATTTTAAAATATTAATATAAAATATTATTAACATTTTAATAACAAATTTAATTGAAATAAGTAAATTAGTTTGGGAACATTTCACTTATAATTTTTTTATTACAATATTATAATTATTTAATTATATTAAAAAATTATATATGGATTCATCACTTATATGTGTGTGCTTTATATAATATTTTGATAAATCTCACATAATTTTAAATTATGATTAGTTACATAATGATTGTAAATGACACTATTGATTTTTTTTTTCATTTTGTAATTAATACTTTAGCCCATAGTGTGGCTTTTACATGAAATTGTGGAGTTTGGGTTAAAAATTCTTTCAACGTTTTCCATGTGACTTCCTGTTACATTCTATTTCCTTTTGGAAAGAAGAAACTTTTATTGCGAGTTCCATTTGGTTTCTATTTTTTTAAAGGCATTTCATATCTACTTTTAAATCTATGAAATTATAACATCAGATATTGCATTGTTTGAAAGGATCGTCGCATTGGCGTCAACTTTTAAATTCACATTGTCTTCATATCCACGTTATTTAATTGAAATATATATTTGGATTCTTAAAGTATATGTATGAATATAAAATGTTGTGATTTGTCTACGAGTTTTTCATTTTCTTTTCTGATTTCTCTGTAAATGATTAATAAAATAGTAACAAACAATCAATAATATGATATTAAATTTCATAATTTTAACAGTAAAATTTTACATAAGCTATTAATAAAGGATAAAAAAAATTTATACTTTCATATATCAATAGAATGAAGCTTTCGCTTTGCATGGGATATATATATATATATATATATATATTTAAAATTATTTATAAAAAATAATTTTAAATTGAATAATATGATAAATAATAATACTTAAAAGATGCTTTTTTATTTAATTTTTAATTTTTCAAAATACTTACTTTAATATCAAATTGCACTTTTGGCTTTTATACATGAAAAAATGAATTCAAAAGAGTGTAAAAAAAGTAAAATACAAAAAGAAAAAACTAAGTAAAAAAAGAAACTATTGGTCTTTTAAAAGCAACTGCAATGTTGGTTGTTGGCCAAACCCAAAAGAAAGTTATTGAGAAATCAACTTCAACTTGCTTGACACTTCATATAATTTTTAGTTATATCTTCACCATTAGTTTTACTTTAGCGTGAATAACGTTTTAATTTGTGGAAAATAAAAAGTCTTGTGCTTCGTTTTACACACAATGGCATGTACTTTATCTCATTGCAAAATTTTTCTAAAGCATGTCAGCCACTTTTAAGAAAGTGTGATTTTAGTAATAAATTAGTTTAT